TAGTTGCTGCCTGTGGAATTTCTTGCACAAATTAATTGGGAATCAATTTGCAAATAGAATGACAGCCAAGATGCATGTAGTAGCTTTACTGCTTCAGAGGGGCCTATTTTGGCCTAGGTTGAGCAGAGGGGATGCACAATGCAGTTCAGGATTTCCTTGCTTTGGCATGGTGTCCTCTGCTGGCCAATGCAGCAGTGTGAGGGGGAAAAGGGCTCCCCACTTATAAAAGAAAGAGAGATCCCTGGTTGTGTCAGCTTCCAGGTAAATGGGGTGAAACAAGTAACGCAAGCAGCAGCAACATACACCACAGTGAGAGAGGCAATATTGCAAGCTAGCAAAATGTTCAAGGAGACGATACCTACCAGCTTAGAATGACAAGGAATGTGGTGCTCAGCAATTTGAGCAGTGCCACGTGTCAAGAAAGCGCTAGGATCTTTCTTTGCACAGGTTTTTTTTCCTCTCTCTCTCACTTGACTGCTAAATATATGAAATGGCCTTGGACATTTTCTGTTGATATATGAGTGCTTTGAAGCTACTGACTCTGCCACAGCAAACATTGGGCCGCCTCTGTCCATGGCCAGAGGGTCTCAATATCCAGCTTTAGCTAGGGCAATCCATTTGCTCAATTCATTTCTTCCTTCCATTTGGTTTTGTGCGTTTGCTGCTTTCCTGTAGGCAGACTGCAGGTATCACTTTGAAAAAATCCCATATTTGATTGATTGACTGATTGATTGATTGATTAGTATACCGCATGCAACAGTCCTACACAGGACTCTCTGTGTGGTATACAACAGCAACAAAAAGTATGTGAAATATAATATTTAAAATTATAAAATCTATACAATAATACTAATATAACTATGAGTACTACAGGGTGCCTTAAAAGTTACAGCTTTTAAACTTCCTCAAACTTTTTAAAATTAAACGTTATCTATCTATGGGATAGCCTGGCAAAGCATTGTCCATCTCAGGTTTTGCCATCTGAGAATATGTTGACTCTCTCATAGCTTTACCACTGAGTGGTTCCAGTTCTGAGCTGCAAAGAGCCTCCCAGTCCAGTGAGCCACATAGTACTAGAAGCTATAGATAGATTTTGTTACTGTTATTCCATGCCAAACGCATCCACAGTTTTTTCCTAGAGCAGTTTTCCAGTGCACTCCCACCCAGGCCTGCATCTTCTTCCTACGACGAACCATGGCGGGGGTGGTTAGGGGGACTCAGGGGTGCAGTGCGGCAAGGCAGGAAAGGAAGCCAGCAGTGCACACAGGAGCTGGGTTGCCTAAATTACCCTCAGCACGTGCACACACGCACACTCTCCTGGGCCAGCCCTGATGGGGTGCAGGTGACTCAGAGCAGCACTGTTGCAGCCAGTTAGTGAATGCTGGCTGACAATTGACCACCCATGCACACCCACATATGCATGCACAAGTATGTTGCGCGTACACTCACACAAACAGGATAAGCAAACAGGCAAATTAGTCTCTAATCGGCTATAGGAATCATTTTTATAATTGCAACAATATATAATTCCAGCAATGTGCTGAGCTGCCCATTTCCTCCCATGTATGATAATGAGCATTTTCATAACTACTTGCATCCAGTTGCTGCTTGATTAGTTATCTAATTGGTACATTGTTTATTCATTCAAACTTGTCTGATGACTGAGCCATAAAGATGGGTGTACAAACCATCAATCACACCAGTGTTTAATCCAGAGTATTATGTTGGAATTTTTGCAGAAATTTCCTGCTCATGTACATTGCAATGTTCTTTCTGTTCCAAGCGCTGGAGATGATTCACAGGACTAAAATAAGAAGCTAAAGAATTAAATTCACTCTTTTTATGGCATTAGCTCTACAATTGTTTAGTACGGCCATTCAAAGAGATGTGATGTGATATTGAAATGACATTTTATCTCTAAACAATGCATTTAATTAGTTATAAACAGCAACAAGATATGTGCTCTGGATGTGCACATATCTTTCAGAGTTGAATATTACATGGCTTTGGATCCCATGGCTAGGAGAATCTTTGCTTTATGTTATTTATTCCTTCTTTGTTTTGTTGACACCATTATGTAAGCTGTATGACTCCAAGCCTAAATGTTCCAGGAGCTTGGCAGTTAACAAGGTTTAATGTTCTCTGGAAGGATGATCACTAGAAATTTAAGGTGTTCCTGTAGTGTTCTTGTTTATTTATATATCTGCAAATAGAACATGCTTAACTCCTGCAAACAGTTAGATCCCACATCAGATCTCCATATGAGTTTATTAATCCATAACTGGTATTCTGGGACGATCAAGAAGAAATCCAGGTCCTCTTCTGCGCGGCAGTCTTTCAGTACTCAAGTAGTACTCTCATGCCCTCCTTCATTTTTCTCAAGGCAAAACATGCCTAATTCTTCCAGTCTCTCTTCATACTATGATGCCAGTTCCCTGATCATTTTTCTTACTGTTCTCTGAACCTTTTCCAGTTTGTCTCTGCCTTTCTTAAATTGTGGTGCTCAGAGCAGTGCTCCAGATGAGGCCTAACCATTGCTAAGTACAGGGGAACTGGTACTTCACACGTCCAGGGAGAGATACTTCTATTAATGCAGCCAAAATACATTTGCCATTTGTGCAGCCATATCCCATTGTTGACCCATATTTAGCTTGTGATCTACAACAATTCCAAGTTCCTTCTCATTTACACTATTGTTGGGTCAAATCTCCACCATCCCTTTATCTTTGGTTTCTTTTCCTAAGTATGGAATTCTACATTTGTCCCTATTACATTGCATTCTATTGTTTTCAGTACTCCAGTCTATCCAGTACTCCAGTCTATCCAGTACTCCAGTCTATCCAGTACTCCAGTCTATCCAGATCATTTTGAATTTTGTTCTGTCTTCTAGGGTAAGCTATCCCACTCAGTTTTGTTTTATCTGGGAATCTGATAAGTGTTTCCTATACTCCCTCATCCAAGTTATTAATAAAAATGTTGACGAGTACTGGGCCCAGCACTGAGGCCTATAGTACCCCACTCATCACCTCTCCACCGTTAGAGAAGGTCCCACTGATAGGCCCTTTTTAGTCCAATTCCATAGCCACCTGTGGATCCACCTCATAGTTGTTCTATCTAGCCCACTTTTAGCTAGTTTGGTACTCAAGATCTCATGGGGCACTTTGTGAAAAGCTTTGGTGATGTCAAGATATATCATGTCCAGGGCATTCCCACAGTCCATTAAGGAGGTGACTCAATCAAAAATTGAGATCAGATTAGTTTGGCAGGATCGTTCTTGACAGATCCATTTTATATGCTGGTAATCAGTACATTGTTCACTACAATCAGCTCTCCTTCTGATTTCTCAAAGATAATGATTTTATTCATTAGATTTGTCTGGAAGCCTCCTGTTGGCATCATGCTCTCTTCTCAAAGTTTTTCTCTTTGATATCTCAATGACAGTGGTTCTAAGAGTTCTTCTGCCAGTTCTTTTATTACTTAGGATGTAGATCAGCGGACCCTAGAGATTTAAGCTTGCTCAGAATAATTGACCACTTCCCTATTAATCTCAGGCTGCATTCCTGCCCCTTCAGCTTGTACTTGATGTTTGCCAGGGAACACATTGATCCTCTTTTGGGAGAGGACTGAGGCAAAGTAGGAACTGGGCATTCCTGCCTTTGCTTTGTCATTTGCTATCATTTTGCCATGCTCGCAGAATAGCTTAACCACCAATTGTTTCCTCTGTCATCTACTCTGCATGTATCTGAAGAAGTCTTTTTTGTCTCATCTGACCCTATGCAGTGGTAGGGTGACCCTGAATTTCCTGGGCCAAAACCTTCTTCCATGCAGGTCCTTCAATCTCCATTTGCTCCTCAAACCCTGCTATCCAAAGGCAGGCATATGCTCAAAACTAGCTCTTTACCTGCTTATTTGTTACATTTAGACCCCAACTTTCCTCCAAGGACCCCAAGGCTGTGCACATGATCCTCTCCTTCTTGTCCATTTTATTCTCACAACAATCCTGTGAGATCGGTGAGCCTGAGCAGCCATGCAGGGACTAGAACCCAGGTCTCCCAAGTCCCAGTCCAAAACCCTAACCACTGCACCACACTGGCTCTTCTCTAACTTCAGTCAGCCCTTTGTTCCTTTTCTTACACACAGATCTAAATGAAATCATTCTTATCTGAGATAAGCAAAGGCAGATGTGATAGCTTCCCCCAGACCCCATTCTATGAATTCCAGTTACCTCTGAGGAAACAAACAATCCTCTAACTTTTGAGGAGTGTCATTTGAATATCTCAGGTGCTAACATTCCCCTGTCAAGCTCAAAACTCCAGCCAAATGTTGCCTTTTAGAAGACCTTTTCATATAACTCTGGCAGCAAAGTCAAAACAACACATATATGTATATAAAAACATTGCACATGATACTCAGCTATACATTCAGGACTGGAAATGTGTGTTTGCAAAATGAAGCACCATAAGGAGACGAATGTACAAATCAGGTGGAAAATAGCTTCACCTTAGTATGCAAACCGCTTCCATTGCTTTGGAAATGTGTGTGTTTTTTTTTTTTTTTTTTTTTTGAGGGGGCTTGCCAAGGACACTGGCAGTTTCACCATAAGCAGCAGCTAAGCCCTGATCTTAAGAATGATTTTAGCACCATAATATATTCAAGTGCTATCACAGTAGCAGTATAGTCTGGACAAAGCCCAGCGAAGATGAGGGAATAACAAATAAAAACAGGAAGATATAAAGCACAGTTGGGAAAGCGTCATTCTGCCAAGTGCAGCTCCAGTGTAACTGCATTTGTTTTTGGGGGGGTTTTAACCTCAGCCTGTCCTGCAGCCCCCAGATGGTATAGAGGACAAAAATGAAAATATGAACAATATGAATATTCACTAAAGGCCACTTAAATCCATGGCCCCTCAAACTGAATGCAGTCTGCTAGACACAAGTGTTTCCTGTGTTAGAAACAGTAGGTCACACCTTGTATAGACATGCTTTATCGGCTTTGATTACCTGTTCTGCACCATACTCATGGCCATCCAGTCCAAGGGGTAGACATTTTTCCCAATAAGATCTTTAAACATTATGAAGGTTTCCATTAAAAAGTCCTAAGGGATGAAAAGAAACTGTGAATTCATGTCCTTAATGTTCAAATAAAGTAATGCCTTTGCTCCTATGGAAGACAGACATCGTTTAAAAGCAGCCACTGGGCAGTATCCAATAAGGGTGATGTGCAAGCAGCTGCTACACCGATTTTGCTATATAAATGGCCCTTCCTGCTAATTCTAGTGCGTAAGCAGGACCCACAATTTGCTAAACAGATTTAACACCCGAAGCCCTGAGACATGCAGGCACATACATTCTGGACTGGTTCAGATGAGCAGAGTCCCCTTATGTGAGGTCTGCTGAGCTTCCCTGTTCCAGAAATGCAGCTCATGGAAGCACTAAATTCTTATTGCAAATACACTGGGTTTCATGGATGAAATACAATGGATGGAACACAATGGAATCAACAGGGACATGATGCTCGAGTGGATATTGCCCATAAAGCACCTGGGTTGTTGTTGCACCTGTCCAGCATGCAGATGCAGAAATGAACTTCAGTGTCAAAACAAAATAAGCAGGATTAGTGCTAACATGCCTAATCAAAAAGTTTTTTTCCTATTAAATTGCACTGATATAAGATGATTAATACAAACCAGTTTGCAATTGAATGGGTTTCTTTCAATGTATCTAAGGCCAACAACCGCATTATCTGACAGTCCATCACTTAGATCTGTCCTCCCCAGCTGTTACATCACCCCAGTCCACATGGCTGAGCCGTGGTTTTGATCAAGAGCCTGAAGGCAGCACTCCTTTCCTAGCTGGGGTAACAAAACACTCCCTGCAGTACATCATCTCTGATGCTGTATTTTCAAGATGAACATAATTGCATTTTATATCTATATATGTTTAAGACAATGCCCAGGAGCAACTATCTCTATCCAAACCAGCATCTGGAATCTGTGCTCAAGTAAATGGAAGGAACAGCTAAAATCAAATCAAGTCAAGGTGTGGACGGCCATGGCATGGAACTTCAATAGAAGGGTTCTTGGGCACAGTGCTGCTTCTTGAGAAGTGATGTTTCTAGGCATGCCTGCTTTAGGTTTTGGCTCATAAGTTTTCCTTCCTTAGTCAGGTAGATTTGCTACACCCATCCATGTCTCTGTGAGTTCAAGTTGACTAATGCAAAGCCTTCTGTGAGAGACTTGAAGATGCCTGAGACACTCCAGCTGCAACAGAATGCTGCTCCGCTCTAGCTAAGAGATTTGGACCTGCTCTGCACCAGTTGCATTTACTGCCCATTTCCAAAATGGGGGAACTTCCTCTCAAAAGAAATTAGGAGAAGTTGCTCTGTCTTGAACAATAGGAAGATTCTCCCCCTGTTTGGTTGTTTTGCTTTGCTTTATGTTGTTTTTGGCCAGGCTGTTGCTTAAGGTTGTTTCTGCTGGTTTCTGGTTGATACTGTGGTTCTAGTTTGTTTTAAAGTATGTTTTGTTATTTTACATAAACTATTTGTGTCATGGGAAAAGTGCTACAGCAAGAAGAGAAAGAGGAAGAAGTAAAATAAGAATACAAAGAAGAAATACAAGATGTATACGCCTGTCTGTCAGTACAGAGAATCAGGACTGTGGAAGCCTAGGTACCAGAACTTGTCATGCATACTAAGGGGATGTAGGTGCAGGCACATCAGGGTTAATCTGTTTTTCAAATGCACTAATAAATTTGTTGTCCTTCTTAAATGCCCACAGGTCACCTCTGTCTCAGGGTGACTCTATGAATGAATGCCCTCCAACATGCCCTGGCCCTTTCAGCCCTGCTCAGCTCTTGTAAACTCAAGGGTATGTCTTCCTTTATGAAATCAATCCATCTCATATTTGGGTTTCCCCCTCCCCCTCCCCCTCCCCCTTCTTCCTTTGGCTTTCCTTAGCATGATTGTCTTCTCCAGTGATTCTTGCCTTCTTATGTGTTCAGTAGGTGACAGCTTTAATTTGGTGATTTTTGCTTCCAGGGATAGTTCTGGGTTGATTTGGTTCATCTTTCGGTCAGTCCAGGGTATTTGCAAAGTTTTGCTCCCACACCAGGTTTCAAATGCATCCATTTTCTTCCTGACAGATTTCTTCACTGTCCAGCTTTCACACCTGTACACAGTGATGGGGAATCAATAGTGTGAATGATCTTGGCCTCGGTTTGCAATGAAATGTCCTTACACTTGATGATCCTTTCTAGTTCTTTCATTGCTGCTGTTCCAAGTCTCAGTCTTCTTTGGATTTCTTGGCTGCAGTCTCCCGTTGAAGTGATAACTGAGCCAAGGTATGTGAAATCTATCACAATTTCAATTTCTTCATTATTAGGAGCAAAGTTCTATAATTCTTCTGTCTTCGTGATTTTTGTTTCCTTAATATTCAGCTGCAGTCCTGCTTTTGCACTTCTTTCTTTCATCAGGAGTCATTTCAGTTCATAGCTGCTTTCTGCCCATAATATGGGGTCATCTGCATATCTTAAATTATTGCTGTACTTTCTGCTCATTTTCACTCCTTCTTTTGAGCCTAAGACAGTTTCCTAATGATATATTCTGCATACAATCAATCAATTTAAACTAATCTAAATGTGTCCATGTGGTAGAAGTCTATGATAACATCTTCAACCACCGGAGCAGACTTTTCTAACTTGCTCACAGCTTTGCAGTCCACAGCCTTATCAAACTAAGGGCTCTGCAAAGGCAGGTCACCTTGCTTGCATTTTAATTAGTAAATAAAGCAAACAAGAGAGGTCTAACTTCCGCTGTATGGTTTCTTTCCCCAGTCTTTTGTGTGTCGTTAAAATGGATATGTGGTTATATTACAGTCGATTGATTGATTTCATTTTTATATCACCCAATGGCCGAGGCTTTCTGGACAGGAAACAAAAGTTAAAAACACACCAAGAAAGGGGGCAGGGGAAGTATAAGGCAAAATAGCCACAGTAATTGCAGCCAAATTAGCACAGAGCTAAAACAGTGGTACAGGATAAAATGCAATATTAAGACTAAAGATAAAAATACTGAGAAAGTAAAGTTTTCATCTGGCACCAAAAGGAAAACAGAGTAGTTACCAGGTACACCTCTTTGGAGAGCCCATTCTCTAGCCAAGGTGCCACAACCAAAAAGGCCCTTCTTGGGTAGCTACCCTCCTTACCTCCTTTGAAGTTGATGTTCATAACTGTTATTTCAAATTCATAGATTTTTGTAGCAAATTAAGAAATAATTTGTCAAAATTGCCCATGTTGCCTCACAACAACTGAATGATTTATGTATCTGAAATTAAATATGAACTCTGATTTTTATTTTTTTCTTTTCAATAATTTTTGTTTTAAATTGCTACACCTTGGTTTTCAACCTTGTTCTACTCTGGCGAATTGTGAGGGTTGGGCTCTTTAATATTGATATACTGACAATTTATCTGTTTTGTTTCCTTTAATTTAAGGGAATGAAGGTGTTTCTGGCAGAACAGCTGATGGGCTTTATTACTCTTATGTGGAGTTCTTGACCTTTGGTAGGAAATTGGCTACCAAATCAGAAGGTGGAGGGGAAAACTGCTTGCTGGTAACCACAATAACTCACCACTAGCTCTGAGCTGGTCTGAAACGTTTCAATGTATGATGAATAATGCTGATCATCCATTTGGTTCAATATTGCTGTCATGCAGGCCACAAAATGACTCTGGAAGAGAGACAGAGAAGTAACAATATCAATATGCACATCTGGGTTGAACCACAGGGGAAAACAGAACTATTTTCTCTTATGCGGCACAGATATACACTGAAAAAAGACTGTAAAGTTAGACATGTAAAATCACCACATGGCAAGTCTAACACGGCAGAAAAGAAAATAGGTCCTCCTGGTTGTGCTGCATAAACTGCAGTTTGCAAAGAACTGCACTATTCAAAATGAATGGTCATCTGGAAAAAGTGACAGTGTTTTGTTAGAATATTTTCCTAATCTTACACACAGAAATCTTTTTTTTTTTAAATCCTTTGAACCAAAGCAAGTTTTTGAGCGGCTTCTTTAGAATAATTATTTGAAGGGAAAACCATTTCCCAGGAGATTGTTTGAATGATTCTACAACATTAATTGACAATGTCTCAAGTAGAAGGGAGAAATCCCTATTTGAATAATTCTTTTAAACACATTTAAATTTTAAATTGTCTATTGGCTAGCACTACAGCTGATTTTGCAGAACAAAAGCCAGGTGGCATAAAAGAAAAAAAGCTAAGTCATCTAAAAATTAGCCAGGTAGCAAACTTGATGGAAAATTAGTTCCTTTCAAAACATGGAGTCATGGGTGAAAATGTTCCAATATTTTCCATACATTTTCTGTGAATTGACCTTTATGGACAAACTTCTAGGGGCCCAATCCCATGCAGATTAGGTCAGGAAAAAGTCCCACAACTCCAAGTATTCTCCTACCAGTGTGGCTGCTTTGGGAATGCTGGGAGTCGTAGGACTTTTTTCTCCCTAAATGTGCATAAGATTGGGCCACAAATTTCCAAGGCTATGCCTTGTATTCCAGTCCAGATACGTCTTGTGTGATATGTTAATCAACTCAAACTGCATCAGTTTGTTTGGTGGATTTAGTTTAAATACAAAAACTCCTTTAATCTGCAGCCTTGAGTATATTACCTTGCAAGTTGACCAAACTGAATCCAAAAGGTCTTCTCTAATTAACAGATTGACAGCAAATATCATATTTCTTCAGGCTACACGTGGAAACTAAAGTACTAGGATTTAAATACCAATGAAAGTATCTTGCTGCTAAAATCATTTATATACTTATCCACCTCATGCACACATGCACACACTTTCTCTCTCTCTCTCTCTCTCTCTCTCTCTCTCTCTCTC